GTAACGAGACCGAGTTTGTTACAAAAGTAGACTATCATATCTTCAAATTGTAGAAACAAATTGTGCAGTTGACAAACCCCAAGGCCAAGGTAATAGAAGAAAATACCTTATGTGACTTTAGAAACAAAAGTAGCCTTTCTGTTACTATTCTGTCACCCAATTAAGTCTTCTATAGTTGATGTTTTATATACATGTATGTACATACATACATACATACATACATATATACATACATAAACACCAATATACACATAGAGAGAGACACACGTATACTTTTTGGAATCTCTTCTCTTAATGTAATAAAATAGTTTTCTAACATTTTTACAAATTTTTTTTACATGTTTGTTTTTTTTTACAAAGGGTTGTTTTTTTTCACATGTGAAAATGAATCTGAGTTTGTAGTACTTGGGTGTTTGGTGTATTTGGTTTGTTCATTTCGGTTTAGATGCAAAGCAGATTCACAAAAAGTCTTATCATTGAGGAGCCAAATTGATGGAGTATGATTGAGAGCAACTTGTTACACTAATTTGGGGCTCAATTAAAAAAAATCAAACAGAAATAACAAATCACTTTTCTCCATTCTGAGTAATATCAGTGAAACATGATATTAATTTTTTAGGAGCTCAGGTTCTTAAGACAATAGAAAACATTGTCTAGCCATTAGTGACTATTCAAATAAAGATCTGGCTGCATGGTTGGATGGCTCCTTAATCTCTAAGAAGGTGAGCTCAGGCCTGGGGAACATGGACAAGTATTTTAGACTTGGGTGGTTCGTAGCAAGATCACACTGGGATGTGCAGAATACCACCGAAGAATAAATGCAGCAGGAGTTTGAAATATATGCTGGATTTTAGTGAACTTTCTTAAGCTCTTTCTTGAATGAATAGGTAATTATAAGTCATTACCACTCTCTTCCTTTCTAATCCCATGGCCCTTCTCATTCTCTCTAACACACTATTTTTATATTCCTGTTTGGTTTCTCTCTTTCCCTCAGTCTCCAACCATTTGCTCCACACATTCTCTTTCCCCTGTATCCACTCCCTCTCCATCTTTTACCTTCAACTTTCATCTCTGAAGGTTTGCACATACCCCTTTCTTTTATGAAGGTAGACACCAATGCCTCTATTCAGACTTCTTTTTCAGAATGCCTCCCAGTTATTTAAAACACAAATTTCTTCAATTATTGCTTCTATGCTTTACTTTCTAAAACATAAATTAGTTCAATTATAGCTCGTTTGCCTTACTTCCTAAATTAGGACATGGCTAAATGGATCTGCACATTCCTTGTTTCTAGTACTCTTCATGGTTAACAAAGCAATAAGTAAATGATATTGAATCACTATATCATTTCACCTCTTAATTGCAGTATCTTGATTTTTTTCCAAGAGCACCATATTTTCTAAGGCATTCTGTCTGAGAATGATAGTTATATAATACCTATTTATACACTTGAATCCAAATACTCACCCAGTTTTTCAGTTGTTCCCTCCTATGTGATATCTAGTCTGTCTGTCTCTGATGTCCCTTCTTATTTAGTCCAGATTACATCCTTACATATTGCAGTAATTGTATTTTCTTACCCCAATGTCTTTACATATGGCATAGCCTCCAACTTTATCTTTCCAAGGCAGTTGTGTTGACTACATTGACTTTCTGTCCAGAAATTTAGTTCCTGTTCAACTCAGACTCCTAGCATAGCAACATAATTTGCTCAGTGTTTGGCCAGCCAGTCTTTCCTACATTTTATCCAGCTGGGTATTTGTAAAGCCACCAAATGGGAATACGTAGTTTTCTTTTTGGTAATTATATTCCACATTTCTTTCCACCTTACTTCTTTTGCAGTTGTATTATTTATCTAAAATATGTCTGTAGATCTAGACTCTGTCTTCTGAGACCTAATGTACATGTCTAACCTGTTTGACAAGTAGAACTTATCACTCCCTCTTGGGTTCAGAGATACTGCTGTGTTCCATTCATGTCCCCCTTAATCAAAATATAATCTTTTTCTTGTTTTATCATCTTCAATAAATAAGAGGTAAGCTCCTCAGGCCTAGCACTATGTTTTATTCATTTTACTACCTTCTGTATCATTTTCCATACCTCCATAAAAGTCCATTTTTGTTTCCTATTAGATGAATAACTTGGAGGCCTTTTTATGTGACCATTTACTGTGTTAAAAGGTCTACATTATTGTGCTTTTCCCTAAGGTTCTGATAACTTTGCTGAACAACTTCTTCCACTTCTTGTCTCGCCTATATCTATGTGAATACAAGAAGGGACTGGCTTCCAAGCGAGCACGGACTATCTAGCAAGACAAAAACAAGAAATGTAAAATTATGTTTAAATTCCTGTTTTAACAAGAGCAGGGTAACTGACTGCATTCACTCAGTCTATAGAAACTAGAATGGGATGGAAGTAACCTACTGACTTTGTTGAAAGATTCTTCAGTCAAAAATCATTTTCTTAATCAAATATTGGCATGGAAATTTTCATGATGACACACATGCATAGGACTAACAATGTACCTTTTCCTGATTTGTATTGAGTTTCCTCTGTAATTCACTATGAATGCCAAACAAGCAACATTCAAATACACACAAACCAAATTATCCAAGTGTACCAGTGAACTTTTACGTAGCAATTGTCCTAGTTTGGTTTCTATCACTGTGATGAAAATAATAAATAAATAAAATTTGGAGAGGAAAGAGTTTATTACTTCTTACAATTAGACTCCATTATCAAAGGAAATCAGGGGAAAAGCTCAAGCAGAATCCTGGAGGCAGGACCAAAGGCAAGTCTATGGAGGTCTAATGTTTACATGCTTGCTCCTCACAACTGTTCAGTCTGCTTTCCTATACAACCCAGGACCACCTGCCCAGGGGTAGTGCAGCCCTAGCAGGCTGGGCCCTCCCCTATCAATAAACATCAAGAAATTGGCTCATACCCTCACCCTCATGCCGGTCTGATGAAGGCAATCCTTCAATTCCAACTTCTTCTCAGATCCGTCTAGGTTTGACAAAAGTTAATGAAGACAGCAAGTTATCCATTCTCTGCTAACTCTGCGCTATGTGAGAACTTGGGGTGCACATAAAGCACTGACCTCTTTCGTGGTGTATGAGATAGTGTTAAATGGTGGAATAAGCTGCCAGCTACACAGAGGTGAAACAGAGATACGGACAAAGAAGAAGATGGCTCAGATACAGAGAAATGCATAGAAACAGGAAACACCAGATTCAGAATGGGAGGATCTATGTAAACAGGTAGCATCACTAAACAGAAGATTTTTTATCAGTGGTGGTTTCTGTCATTGATGTCTAAGGGTCACTCATTTGTATATTTTAGGTCTTTTCTTACTTCCTCATTATGGCTACATATAAATATACTTTATAGACAATGACTCAAGTTGACTATGACCACTAAGGAAAATCTTGCTGCTCCCCAGCTATAGTGAAAATTACAGTTTCTCTAGTTGTGAACAGAGCTAAGGTAGCTGTTATTATTTAGTCAGCTGCGGGATCTTAGAGACAAAGTCTGCTGGGAATTGCCAGGGCACTGGATGGATCACCCAGTGGAGAAAGGATTAGCATAGAGTTAAATGTGAGAAGACCTATATGATTACAAAGCCCTGGCCCTCCTTTCAGTCTCTCCGTGTGCTCTTAGTACAGTAAACAAGATCCAATCTGGTAAAGCAGACAGACTGAAGTCTGAAGAGCACCACTGACGTTTGAAACCTAAGCATTAGATTCTACCAGTGTTTGATTTATGTGTACATGGGGAATATTTAGTTTTGAAATTTTAAAGTATCTAGCACTTGGGATTGTTTCCCATCCCACACTAGAGCCATTGAACTGGATTCCCAATTTGGATTTACCATCTGTGTTGCATTCTAATTATTTTTATAGAGCTGAGATTTTTAATATCGAATATAAAAATGTGTAAAAACATTCAATGTGGGCCTTTTGCATTTGTTTTGCTTTTATCCCTGCTGATTTCAGGTTGTTGTTGTTCACCATGGCATCGACCACCCTGAGTGGGTTAAGGAAGGTGTGAGTGAGACCTTGAGCTTGGCCTCAGCTTTTTTTACTTTTGTCTAATCAATGTCTTAACATTTCGCTGTATTCTGGTTTCTGCACTATATACAGTTCACCATGGCCCTGACTTTCATAGAGTAATTATTTTGATTAAGTTAGACAATTAAAGTCAGTCTTGCATGAGGAACGCATACCGCTGGGAGTCAGTGATGGATGGACTCCAGTCTTCTGAGTGTTCTGTCATGCCGGTTTGTTCCAGCTGAGTGAGAACTCCCTTCCTTGTTTGGTTAGTGTGGCAGTGAATGGGTTGCTAGACCTAAGTGTCTTAGAAAATAAGTCACGAAGAGATCAGGAAGGCGAGAAGATGGTGTTACTATCCACATGTGTTCTTGTAATTTTTCTACATCCTTTATTTGTGTTGATGAACAACATCATTACTGAAATAATTAATGTTAATTAATAGCTGTGTCGTTTTTGGTAAATGGTAGTTTAGTGTTACAATTAGACTAATTAGTACACACCATAGCTTAGTGACATGACAAATCACCGAGCAGAGCACATTGACTCTTGTCCCTTCTGATGTATGAGCTAATCTACTCGATCATGGTGAAGGAAAGCAACAAGAAGCTGGACAATGACACCCATCAGGCATTGTTTCCACATTTCTGTCTCTATTTGCTGCTTAGTTCCCGAGTACTAGGGATTGTTGCTGTTTGATGTTTTAGTTCTTTCCTTACTGTTGCGTCATAGTTTCTAAAACTAAAGTAGGAAGTCTCTAAAACATCAAACTAAAACTATGAATAGGTATAACACTAACCCCCCAAAATTCTCTTGGCAAAACACTCAAAACCAAAGATTCTCTTGATATTCACTGGATTTGTGTATGCCGTGTCACATTCAGTGTCATACTCTTCCAAAAGCATTTGCAGTCAAGATGACTTCTGTCTGAAACTTTGATTTATTTTGCAGAACCTATGCGGACGCCAAAGACGTTAAAGATTGCTGAAATCCAGGCAAGGCGCATCGCGGTGGACTGGGAGTCCTTGGGCTACAATATCACTCGCTGCCACACTTTCAACGTCACTATCTGCTACCATTACTTCCGGGGCCACAATGAGAGCAGGGCAGACTGCTTGGACATGGACCCCAAAGCCCCTCAGCACGTTGTGAACCATCTGCCACCTTACACAAATGTCAGCCTCAAGATGATCCTAACCAATCCAGAAGGCAGGAAGGAGAGCGAAGAAACAATCATCCAAACTGATGAAGACGGTAGGCTCCTGCTTGTTAACTTCACGGGGTACGGGGTAGGGGTGGAGGGTGGATAGGTGGGGGTGGAACAAAGAATGACATCATTTCTTTACATTTACGCTACAGTATCCATCACTGAACCAAACCCAGAAACCCACCAAATTTTCTCAGTTCAGTTTACCTCTAACAGAACACGTGTTCTTTACAAAAGAATCCAAATAGTAAATGACATGCACCAGTGCTGTGTTTTCAAACAGCAATGAGTAAAGCCTGAATAAAGCTCTCCTTACCAAATGTGAAAGGCCAAAAAGTTGTTATCCATGTCACTATATCAGCTACCTTTTGGCAAACTCACTTTTTTACTCATTGTGTGTGCATTTTGCAAACCATACTAGCTAAAATTGTTTTCCTAATATTTGAAGATAAAATACTCAATCTGATTGCAAATCGGTGTGTTTGTGTGTGTGTGTGTGCGCGCGCACGCGCGCGAGAGAGAGAGAGAGAGAGAGAGAGAGAGAGAGAGAGAGAGAGAGAGAGAGAGAGAGCACAAAAGGCACAGGACATTTTTTTAGTCAAAATAGAGGTCCTCCTAAAAAAAATAACAGGCCTTCATATTTATAGATTTTATTACAATCTAAGAAATTATATTCATAAAAATTAGGTAATAGGAATGTGTATTTATATTAATATTATAATATATATGCCTTTTCCCTAATGGTATGGTAAATCGTCAGCATGACTATGAATAGAGTTCCTTATTGAACAGAAATAGAGACAAAAGTCTCTAACTTTATCATTTTACTAACAATTAAATATTTTAAGGTGATACTTTCTTATGAATTTTCTTTTATAAATGAATCTATGTTGGTTGAAAGCTACTATATAATGTTCTGAAGCAAAGTTTACCAGGAATTATGATTCATCCACCTCTTCTATAGACAGTAATTTCTCCCAGCTCTCCTATGCTTAGGTCAAGTCTGGAGATCTTTCTGCTTCCATTCCTTCTTACTTTCTCCTCGCACAGTCTGATAAGAGGCACACGGTGTTTTGTTTTGTTTTGTTTTGTTTTGTTTTGTTTTGTTTTGAGTTTCAGAACAAAAGATCTATTTTATAGCCAGACACCTCCCCCACCTCCCTTCATGTGTTCAATAGGCCACTATGTATCTTTTGGTACCTAGCAAGTAGAAGGTGGCTATCGTAAAATAGGTCTGTGAGCTGTAATTTCTAGAAACAGTCTTTTCAAGTTTTCTCCTGGAAAGTGGAAGGGACTCTGGTTTGTCCTGTTGCTTTGTCTTTAGAGAAGCAAGAGCCTTGGATATTGTTTAGCTCAGACTGCAGCAACACGGTGCCTGAAGTCAGTCTCATGTTACAAAAACTTTAGAGTGGAAACTCTGAGACTTATGAATGTGGTGTTACGCTATTTGAGTTAAACAAGGTGGCTATCTCAAGTATTACATTGTTTCACATCTTGAAAGCAATGTGGTCACAACATTTCAATAATACCTCCTTCCCCATCTTGTCTGTCACCCCTAACCTCCCACACACTTAACACTTAGCTGTGTGGAAGAGAAGAGGCGAGGGTAATGGATTCATAGGTCAATAACAGAAGCAGACGTCTAAGAAGAGCTACCGATATCCTGAGGGATCACACACCTTCTGAAGTGCTGTGGCGATTTCAGGGTCTGTGTCACACTGGGCATTTTATAACCCATTTATTTAGTATTAAGAGCATAGGCACATGTTTTATTGCTCAGTGTTAACATTTAAAGCCAGGATGTCTTAATTGATAACATTTAGATTCAGCTACATAAGTTTTATACTGTCATTTGTTTTTAATCCACTCACCCCTTAACAGTGCAATTTCCCTTGATTTCATCCTTTGTTATACTTTACTATCTTGATCTTCTTTCCTACAAACAAAAGAAGGCAGTCAGGTTTTTGTAATTTTTAAAATTACATTACATTCTTTAAACTGCATTTGGTTACACAAATGACTATGTTAATATGCAGGTAATGAATGGCTCTGGAATTTTGCCTTAACCCAATCAAACTCACAATGATAATGCTCATATTGTCTAGAATCAGTTTTATAAGTGGGAAATAACATGGTTTCTCTATTTAATTTCTGCACTATTTTCAGGTCCCCCTTTTTTTAAACCTCTGTGTTTGTATAAGCTTCCGTTATCCTAAACTTCAGTTTATTATGCTATGCTGGCTTCAGTTATATGAAGTTGACCATTAGAGTTTCACAGTCGGACTACTGCATGATCCCTGTGGTTGTGTCTCATGGGGTAGGCTTTTTCCCTTCTCTTGGCCGCTTTCTACTCTTATAAGTAATATTTAATGACCAATGTAGAAACTTTCATGAAGTATTTGTGAGTAACATTTTTCATGACTGCTCACGTGAGTTTGAGTTTCTTCACAGAATAGTTGTTAGATCTCAAGGTTCCGAGGTGAAGAAGAACAACCAAATCACACTTATTGTTGCAAAGATGGATGGATTGTGATGATCTGATTATGTCAGTCTTACTAAATTATTGCTTCTCCGTATACAGAGAAAAAAGAATAAATTATCAGCCATCTAATAAAAAGATATAATTATGTGAAAAGAATTCTGGGGACCTCCATAAATCAAGGTCCCAAAGCTAGAATCATTTCCCACTAGAACTTTAGGGTAAAATTTATACTTAATTTATTATATGTGCTTCTTTAATGCGTGGGCAGAATTTTTTGTATAAGGTGCTGTTTTCATTTTTCATTCCAGCATTCATGAAAATCAATATTATGAAGTTAGCTCAGCAGAAAAGCCTGGTTTGGGGACATTTTTTAAGGCTACAAAGCTATTTGAAAATGTACATTTATTACATTTTAGAGGCTGTAATGCTTATTTAATATAATCTTTCTCCGCATCTATTTTATTTTTCTTTTCCGGTTTTTTTTTTTGAAGTTATATTTGAAGGACTTTCTCATGCTCAAAACAAAATTAGCTGAAGCAGCTCACAGATAAATCACAAGTACAGGGACAAAAGTCAGCACTCTGTCTCCATTAAAAATTACTATGGTGGAAACATGAAGTGACAGTCCATGCAGTCTGTAGCTAGGCATGAAACGGCCTTAGGAGGTTCATTCTGTATTTAGACAAACTAACTGGATTTAGACATCGTCTATGTGTGTATATGTACTTCATCTCTCCTCAGATGTAGAAAATAAATGACTGTAACTGGTCTGTACCCATACCTCATCCTTATGAATATATGTAAAGACACACACACACACACACACACACACACACACACACACATATATGGTCTGTATCCATACCTTGTCCTCATTTTCTTTATGTATATATGTATACATATGTATGCATTTTGGAGTAGTTATTCATCCAAGTCACGATCACTTGTGTAGCATACCTTGGCCTTGCTGTTCTCTCACATTTTGCATCTTGAAAACAGAACCTGAAAATACTTGAAGCAAAATTGTGGCAAAGTAGAATATGCCTGAGAAGGGATGACCATGTCAATGTTGTTGTAGGAAATCAAATTTTTGTGTCTGTCCATCTAGCAATGCAGAATTATGCAAATAGTTTAAACCACCCCTGGATAAGAACAATTTGAAATATCTTCATCCTGTTTCATAGAATTTATAAGCCAAGTTGTGTTCTGTAGACACAGAAGTTAAAACAGTTCCTCGTTTTCGGTTGTTTTGATTCTCCCTATCCATATCTGCCAAGCGCCCTGACAAGTATGGGAAGAAAGGATACATTCCCCTGAATGTGGTCACAACCAGACTCAACAGGTAGACATATATCTCCTTGCACAAAAAAAGCAGTGTCCCTGGCAGCTGTGGCATTGCCAGAAATTGCACAGAATGTTTGTCAAGATCTCTGCCATAATGAGCATGGTAAGGGATGCTGATGGGGTCGCGGGCATGAGCAAAGATCAGGGCTGGCATGCTCTCTGTTTACTATGGATTTCTTTTTCTTTCTTCTTTTTTTCCTGTGGGTTTCTTTGTTTTATGTGCGACCTCATGTTGCCTGCCCCAGAGGTCAAAACATCATTCATAGTCTCCTTGTAGAATGAAATAAATCTTAGTCTGGTGACATATCGTTCAGAATTTCTTGCTGCTGCTAGCCATGAAGAAATACATTTCCTTTGATCCAGTGATTTTTAATTTATTTCAATCCTCATGAAATTGCTCTGTACTTTGAAATAGCATTTCTAGATAATGTCATGTGTGAAGTTCACTGAAACGTTGGATTTGTGGAAAATATTAATTAAAAACCATACTTGCCTAATACAGGGTTGATATTTTCAAAAAGGAATTTTTAAGCCAAGTGTGTGGGACGATATGTTTTGTAAAGCATCACTGGGAGAAGAATCTGGATTGTGTGAATAAATACCAAGGTTTTAAAGTAAAATATATAAAAGGAAAACACATAATAATAGAAATAGCTTGTAGCTTGACAACAATAACTGATACATCACTAATTAATAACTTGAGATTTCGCAAATTATAATGCTTTCACAAATAAAGATTGGGCAATGTTATAATTCTTGCCTAACATGCGTGATTCTTGGCATCTAACTGAGCACAGTGGCACATTCTTATAACCTCAGCGTTCTGGAGGAAGAGGCAAAGAATCATAGGTTCAGATCATTCTCAGCTACATAGAGCCCAAAGCCAACGTGTACATTAGACCTTACCAAAAATAAACAGCAACAACAACAAATAAAAAGGAAACAAAGATGACAGTAAAATGTCCGAGATAGCTCAGTGGTAGAGCACTGGCTTGTGTGGACAAACCCTGAGCCCCATCCTCAGCTCTGGCAAATGGCTAAAGCATACAAATTGAAAAATACCTGAATTTTAAACCAGATTGCCCTTAGTAAGCCTCTTTCCTAGCTGAAAAAACAGTAAGCTTCATTTAGAACCATGAAGCAATTACATTTTAGTGTATTCATCCTTAACATCTTTTTAAAAATTATAATAATCAATGTTATCTTTTTAATTATAGAAAATTTAATAAGTATAGCTACAAAAGTCAGGGTGGTTTTTAATGGGCATTTCAAGTCAGTGCTGTGTGATTTGTCTTTTGAGTCTAAAGAGCATTAATTATGATTGTAATTCATTACTTTATGAACTTTGTTGATGGAACCTCTTTAGGGGATTATCATAATCTTCAAAAAAATCTTTCAAGGAGATGCATCTCTGTTCTCAAAGCAAATTACAAAAAGAAGCTCATGTTATTAGAGGTATACAACAGAGAAAACCAGAGTACACGACTATGCAACCCTCCAAGGTGATTGAATATTCATTCGAATAAAAAGAACTTTACATTTATTTCTGTGGTTCTTGCTGGAGAATCTTGCAGCCTGAGTTTCGATGTCCCCTTTGGAGTCAAGTGTGCATACTGCTCATGTACTGATTTTATTTTTAAAGACACATTTTCACCTGATGGTCTCTCCTTCAAAGTGTGCTCATCTTGTTGCCATGATGAGTTCTCAACATTGTTTGTACATCTTCTTATCACCAATGCTTCTATTCCTAGTGCCCGGGCCTGTGCCAGTCAAATCCCTCCAAGGAACATCCTTTGAAAACAAGATCTTCTTGAACTGGAAAGAGCCACTGGAACCAAATGGAATTATCACTCAGTATGAGGTATGAGGGAAAGGGTGCTGGTTGGCAGGTAGTCCAAAGAAGAGGCAAAAAGGAGAAGGTTAGGAGGGAATAATGGAAAGGGGGAAGGTGGGGATGGGAGGACTAAAACGTCATTAGCTCTCCTTTGTCCTAATTCATAAATTATTTGATTTGAAAATTAATAACTATACAGTATCAAGAATTTCAAATTCTTGGAATATAGGCTAGTTTTTGTGTCTATGTATATGGATAACTGGACTATGTCCTTGTCAAACTCAATTAATGGTTATAATGAATAATTACATGTAAAAATGCTAAATCCGTATTACTAAAATTAAGAAACCATTATCACACTATGCTTAAGGAAAGGCCATTGAATGCCAGTTTTTCGAAGTAAGTAATTAATAGTGCCCCCAAAGCAAAACAGATTAAAAACCTATTTCCGGATTTCATTGTACCTTTGAATATAAATCACCATATTTTCGAATATAAGATGCTGAGGAGAATGATGGATTTTTTTAATGTGTTTTTATTGAAATGGAATTTCATACCTTTCCTCATCACTTTCAAATGGATATTTTTAATTGCATAGTTGTGAGGTTTTCTGGTGCATAATCAGTGCTGATTATAGAATAAATATTCCTGTTTCTAGTGCTTAAGAATGAATTTTAGGGATGAGAATGTTTTGACTGTGTTAGTGTGTCTGAATGCTAGTTTTCTATATCATTCATTTTGTTTTGTTGTTTTGAGGCACATTCTTACTAAGTTAGCACAAATGATCCTAAAGTCACTCTATTCTTGAATTTGCATACCTTTCCCAAGTAGTGCAGGTTACTAACCTGTGCTGCTAAGTGTTGCTAGACCCCACTGTTACCCTAGACAAAAGAAGCATGTCGTCCTTTTGATGAAGACTTTCTGTTTTCATGCACTTTAAAGTACGTACAAAAAATTTTGTATGTAGCATGGATATTCAACTATATCCATTTATTGGTAGATTTTTAAACATTTAAGATTTGACAAATTAGACATGCTGCAACATATGTTAGTAGTTGTATGATAGATGATAGAAAACTAATGGCATGGATTAATAGATAGTAGATAGAAAGATGATAGATTGGTAGATGATGTTCATATTAGATACATAAAGATAGATGATAGAAGATAGATGTTGGTAGATAGAGGATAGGTAATAGATAGATAATTGATACAGGTGAGAGTTGCTAGACATAACCATACCAAAATATAGATAGAAGATGATAGAAAGAAAGAAAGAAAGAAAGAAAGAAAGAAAGAAAGAAAGGAAGGAAGAAGATAGATAGATGATACATAGATAGATAGATAGATAGATAGATAGATAGATACATAGATAGAGATAGATGATAGATAGATAGATGATAGATAGATAGATAGATAGATACATAGATACATAGATACATAGATATAGATGATAGATAGATAGATACATACATACATACATAGAGAGATAGATACATAGATAGATAGATACATATATACATAGATAGATACATAGATACATAGATAGATAGACGCGTAGATAGAGATAGATAGATGATAGACAGCTGGTAGATGATAGCTAGATGATGGATTGGTAGAGAGACGACAGATAGATGGTAAATGAGAGATGTCAGAAATAATGACATCAAAATAAAAGTAGAAGAAATAAGAAGAAATGATGGCTCGAAGCTCTCCCATACTATGTTATCTAGAAAGGATTTACTTAGAATTTATTATTCCTTCAGTTGATATGTAATGGGAAATATATTTGCCACAACAGGTGAGCTATAGCAGTATAAGATCATTTGACCCTGCTGTTCCAGTGGCTGGGCCCCCGCAGACTGTATCAAATTTATGGAATAGTACACACCATGTATTTATGCATCTCCACCCTGGAACCACCTACCAGTTTTTCATAAGAGCCAGCACTGTCAAAGGCTTTGGGCCAGCCACAGCCATCAATGTGACCACAAATATCTCAGGTAAGCAAATGAGTCATGTAGAAGCTGGAAGGCTCATGCTTCTGGTTTGCCGTAACATATTGTAGACATTCAGTTCTATACTGTGTTCACGTGTAGCTTAGTAAGGCCTTACCCTCACCACCTGAGGTCAAGGGAACTTTATTCAGACATTTGAGAACAACTCATTATTGGTTCTACGTTGTAATTCAAGCAGTTTGCCAACAGTCGCAAAAAATGACAGTAGTCTTAAAAAGTTAGTTTTTCTTTTCAAGTTCAGAATCTTTGAGAGACCTTTTATTGTGTCTTTGAGTATCAGTTGCCTGCTCTAGACATATGGATGTTATCTAAGAAACAGCGGAGGTCTTTCACTCTGGAATTAGAATATCTCATACCTCGTCTCTGTCACATTTCCCCAATACTCTGAAAATTGTAAACAAATGAAACTGTCCTCTCCTGTGCATAAAAAGTGTCTCACAAATGCATCAAATTCTCAGAATAACAACATGCAAGAGACTCTTGAATTGATAAGTAAGTGTGACTAAATTTTACCTTCTATTATGTTCAGTTTTATAATTTCACTGGGCTAGATTGTTTATAGATTCTAGTTCTCCTTCAGTAAGATCACCAGTTAAAGCTGAGTAAGTTCCTCCTGCACATACACACTATCACACATCCTAAGTCTATTCTAGTTAATAAAATATTTTGTCATGTTTTAAGATTACAAAAAAAAATGTGTATGCTATATGTAACTAAAGAAGGGTTTTTGAAAATGAAGTCTGAGAATATTTTTATTTTGTGAATTCTCTCTGTAGTAATTTTCCACAGTATATAGCAGCAGCCCTTCCCAATTAACATTCTGTATTTTTGTCATTGTCTTGAATCACATTGTCTTGAATCGTTTTAAGCTTTACTTGGAAATGTATTGAATGAAATAAAAAAATTTAAAATTTATGTCATGAGTAAAAGTAATTCCAATATTTCATTTGCATATGACTTGATTCACATTAGTATTCTAGTAAGACTAATGTTTTAGAATATCCATAATATTAAGGAATTATAACATATTAAACTGCCATTTTTACTTCCTAATGGAAGTCATCAACTCAAAATATTTATTAGGTTACTTTATTAGAAATTAAGACATTGTGAATATCACGACAAATTTCCTACCTTGTAGGATTAGCAACTGTTGAAATTTTCTATAGAAATTGCTGTAAAATTTACATAAGCTTCAAAAATGAAAGCATTGAGCAACTATATAGTTCTGATTTATAAACACACACAGATTTTACACAATTTTCAAGACTCAGATACCTTGTTCAGCATGATAAACAGAAAATTTATATAGACCAAAACACTAGTTTAGTATTTTTTTCCCTTCTAATTTATTTCAATCCAGTTTTACTACTGTGACTTAATGGAGAATTTTTTTTTTGCATTTTAAAAATATAATTCCTGATACTATGCTTTGAACTTACTGTGAGGTTATTGAAATTTTACGATAATGTATAGCTATCTATCGCTTTAGTCTAGTATTTGTTTTTCCTTCAACATTTAAAAATATTAATTTAGGAAGAAGCTGGAGTGGTGGCTTGGTGGTTAAAAGCATTAGCTAGCTACTCTTCTCGTGAATTCCCAAAACCCAGAGGGTATCCCATAACCATTTGTAACTCCAGTTTCTGGGGATCTGATACAGTCTGCTGACTTCTACAGGTGCAGGCATTCATGTGGTGCACCAACATTTATTTGGGCAAAACATTCATACAAACAGATACTAATTAACTTATATAAGGGTGTACTACTGTTTTGCCAAATTAACTGTGTGTATCTTTTGATTATTTGAGTTTACTGAGTGTATATTTTTTATTTATACAACTTGAGTTTATAAAGTCTTAACTCTTAATTTTGACTTCATGTCAGGGCCTGTGTCTAAATCACAATGCATACAACTTTGCATAGGTTTTGCTTTTGGTAAACATCACTTGACCTTTCAAATATAACTGCTAATCTACATGTTTCAGTAAGTCTCATTCCCTTAAACATCCTTCTACATGGTGAAAACAAACTGAAATTCCTTCCTACTCAAGGTTTGGAAATTCCCAGAACACAATTAAACACTATCCAACATTTTGAAAATGTGTGTGTTCAACTATTTGCAAATTAGTGTAGTAGCCCTTGGCAACTGAAAAATATGATTTTTCTTTCCAGTTCACCAGAGCTACCAATTATGTTTTCCTTGTGGTCACAGGAAACTGGTCCAGAGAAGATATTGGACCTTTCTTTCGCTTATTTAGAATGAATGGCTGTAACCACCAGGCAGCCCATAACTCCCTTCTGCCATGCACAGCTCTGGCCTTCCTGTGTCACTCCCAGCCAGGGCTGAGTGTCCTCCCCCCACTTTTCCACCTCTTCATTGCTGGGTTAAAGACCTAGAGAAGCTGAAACCAAAGTAACTACACAAAGTTTTTTGAATGAATACAAGTCCCCAGATAGCTTCTTAAAATCCAACAACGTTGCCTTTCTAGATACTTCTGCTAGGGTTAAGGTTCGGTGTCATGCCATAAAATAAGGTTCACTGCAGTTAATTAGGAATTAAATTGATTTCCCCTTAAGGGAAATCATTTATTCATAGCAACCTATAATATATCACTGTAAGTCGATTGAACTTTCTCTTCGCCTGGTTGATCTCTTTTCAGCTCCAAGCTTACCTGACTATGAAGGAGTTGACGCCTCTCTGAATGAAACTGCCACTACCATCACAGTACTATTGAGACCCGCACAAGCCAAAGGTGCCCCTATCAGGTAAGAGAGGTGGGGTTAAAGGAAAAGCAGCCAGTGGGAGTAGTACCTTCCTGTGGTTGCTTAGCACCGTTGTTTGTTTGCTTTGTTTCTCTTCATTCATTTGAACAAAGATAACAAATAGACCTATAGTTAAGAGAACACTTCCGAGGGGATTTCTGTGCCATCTAAGACTATTGCTCTCTGTTTGGTTTTTCCTGTATCCTGTTTCATTTGACTTCCAGTATTAGAATCTGTGTCAAATAGTATAAGGAAGTAACTCTTGTCTAACTCTTGTATCTCTTACGAGTAATTTCTCGTGAGAGACTAAAATCACTAGGAACCTCTGAGGAAATAACACAGAAGAATAATAGCAGAAAGACCCCTGTGGTCTTTCAGTTCTTAAATTATCAGAAATTTCATAATAAATATTAAAGTTCAGCTTACTGGTTCCTTTATCTTTTTAATATTAAAAATCTCTCCTCTACTACTGCTATTCTTTCCAAAAAAAAGAATCTGATCCATTTCAAAAATAACATTCTGATCCAGGTCACTTTTAGAGATTACTAAAATTACTTAAGGCTTTTAAATTTTGAACAGCTATAGATGACTCTTCAAGATTCTGATTGAAACCAATAGCTATGCTATTTTATTAATCAATATTGATAAGAAAATCATATAGGTATAATTTATATAGGTATAATATTGATAAGAAAACCATATAGGCATATCAGGCAGCAGGACTGAGTTTTGTGCTGTTTATAAATTCTTTCAAAAGCAGATTAATCTCTGTTCTGTATGTAAAACAAATATCTGTGACGTAAGGAAACAGATGTCTTTTGTCCTCAGAGTTGTATAGTTTTTTTTTTTCATGAATAAAATTATGTTGATATAAGACCATGACAAAGAAAACTTGCAATCCCCATCTGGCTAAAATTCTGTGCACCACCACATAACAGAACAAGAGAGGTTACTAATATGTCTGTAACTTAGATGCTTCTGGAATACCAGCTACTTAAACATTTAAAATCAGTATACATTAATGTTCATGAATCAATGACCTCTGATTCATTTTGATTGCTCCTGTGAAGAGGAAGAGAAAATGCCCCATTCACTTGGACCTGGTGTCCTTCTCTATTGACGCGTAATCGTGGCCATTCACGTGTCCCTACTAGTGACTAAACTTACTTTGTAGGTGTTTAATATGTTCCTGATGTTTAAGCGGATTCCAGGTAGTTGTGTTTATCTTTTAAAGTTTCTTACGATCTGGAGAGATGGCTCAGTGTAAAGAAGACTAACAGTTCTTCCAAAGGAAACTGATTCAACCCCTTGCATCCATACTTTGGCTCACAAATACCTGAAACTCTTGTCACAGGGAATCCAATGTCCTCTCTGGCATCCACCAGCACTGCACTATGTGGTATACAAACATACGTTCAAAAAAAAAAAACAAATATAAATAAATAAAATCTCAAAACTATTATAAATCTCTAAATATGTTAAGTGAAGTCAACTTTTTCTTCATGTATTATTGTCATTATTATTGAATCCCTGTGCTGTTTAATTTATATGACTAACCTTGTTCACTTAATCAAAATTTTTCTGCAAATTTTGACCATTCATTAAGTGCCTGTCACCCTGCTTAACACTATAAACCAAAGATACACTGACCATAACACAACACAACTAGGGGTCAGTCCATCGTGTAGACCCTGAGCTCATTGAGAGTGGTCAGGAATTCTGTGTATTTTCTACGTGTTTGATTAAATGACTTTCTTCTCTTCTGCTTGTCTTTGTGTATACATGATTTTTAATTACTAATAATTCATGTGATATGAACCAGTAACTATGCAATAATAATTCTTAATAGTCATTTATCTTTCTCTGGCATGGAAATATACTTCATTATATTTGTTAGCAATACATTTGACCTTTCCTGGAATTGAACCCACTGGCTAGTAACTCCAAATTATACAGTATAGATGAATAGTTCTCAGAAAACAAGTTGAAGGGCTGGAGAGATAATTCAGTAGCTAAGACTGCCTCCTGTGCACACAATAGGACCTAAGTTTGAAGAATTGTCCAACAAACCCTGTGAAAGCCAAGTAAGACCACATTTGCCTATAATACCAGAATCGGGGTGTAGAGAAAGGCCAATCCCAGGAGCTCATTGGCCAACCAGCATGGCTGACATGGCACACCTCAGGGTCGGTGAGAGACCCTATCCAAAAATAAGGTGGAGAGTAATACGGAAAGAATAAATAAAGGAATACACGTATATGAGTGCACACTTTCACATACACCACACGAACAAACATGCACAATCACAAAACCGACCTTATATACTAGGCTATTAGAATTAGAAATAAGTTAATATGAACATTTGCCAAAGGCAGTAAGTGACTGTCCCTAAAAGGGAAGAATAGTATGATTTCCGACATATTAATCCATCTTTATTTAGCAGCATTTGCATAGAGCGCCTGCAGGTGGAGCCAACAGGCAGGGCTACATTGAATGGACAGGCTGCACAGTGGTTTGGCATTTACTGAGTTTGGACCTTGCCTCCCTTGCTTTTGGCATCCTTTAGTCGAGTAGTATCTTCTTTCCCGCTGACCATTTCCTTCCTTCCAACCATGCATGCACGACACTGGCGTCTGATTCTGAGGTGGTCTAGTCCAGTGCCCTATGCCTTGAAAGTCATGCACTGGGGTGATAACTTTTACCAGCACTGAGTCTATGGTCTGCTTCTACACATCATTTCTTGTATCCCATTATGCCATCTCAACTTTCCTTTAAAGGATTTACTTTCTGCTTAATTTCTTGAGGTGTAGTTACCCCTCACCCCGCGCTGTAAACTTTACTGGTCTTCTACTTTGTGTCTTCGCAGAATACCGGATCTCGTCACCTCTAGCTAAACCTCAAAGTTTCCCAGTAGTACTCAGCCATCAATCCTGAATATTGGGTCTATTTTCCCTTTCTATAAGACTGTTAGTGTTTGCTGGCTTGCATTTCACTGTCCATTTGTCCCAACCCTACGACAAATGGACTTTCTTTTTCTTGATCTTCATAATGTCAAGCTTTCCTTCCAAATCTTCTGCTTTAATAGCTAAGAAATCTTCATTATCTAGCGCTTGTACATTTACTTTAGCATAGGCTTATGTTAAAGCTAAAGTTAACAATGGTTCCCACAAATTCACAGATTCTAAAAGCATCTTTGCATACCAGGAGTTAATCTGGATATATGAAATAGTCATCCTCAGTGTGGAGTGTGAGGGAGTCCCTGGCATGAAGGCAATGCCAGCAGAGAGGAAATTTGGGGATCCACCCAGCAATTTATGGAGGGAAAGAAATGCGGTCTGCCAGAGTTTCCTTTGAGAATAAACTATGAGCACTTCAAGAGATAGCAAAGTCATGATTTGGAATGCTGTTTTAGTCCCAGATTTTCTGAGGCTAGCCCTGGGGGTTCTGACAGTGAGGTCATGGCATCGCGAAAGGTATCCATGAATGAATGACAAGACTTAAAGAGAATGTGGTGTAATCATGACTTCTCCAGCCATTCCTTCCACCTCAAAGTGTGTATGCATTGGACCTAGAAGACTATACTCGGGGGGAGCAGCAGTCAGGGAATTATTCTGGACAGAAGTACATTAACTCTGTATTAACTCTGTAAAGAAGATGGAAGGAACCTTTGACTGCGGATGGCATGTGAGTCACAGGAGTCCTTGCAGCTTCAAATAAATAATGCATATTGGAAAATAGTGAGAGGAAGAGAGATGAAAGACAGGGATTTGGGATAATATTAATCCCAGTCTAAAGTATGGAGTCTGACTTGTAGAATGAAGGACAGCCTGAGACGACATGGCATGCTGAAAGATGAGGAAAGATTCCAGGGAATGAGGACTTGTTTAAGGGAATGCCAGGATTTTGAGTTTGGTAATTTGGGAGCTTGACAATTCTTATGAAGAGAGGAGGAATAACAGGAGAACCAGCTTTTGTATATGAGGAGTGGATCAGTGGAGAGCCTGGAATGCTTTGGAAATCAGAAAAAAATGACTACCTTAACTCTTGACCTTCTGAATCCTGGCAATAGAATAGAGCAAGCCATGTCTGGATAGGGAGGGATCTTGGAAATATGTTTTCACATGGCAGTGAAACTATAGAGCTTAATGTTTCTCCTGAAGCTTTAAGGATAGATTCTTAGATAAAATATGAAATGATGTATATACTGATGTTGACTTTGTTTTTTACTTGCCCCAAGAGTTTATGTGGAATAAACTTTTAACCACACAGATTAACATGGTAATTTTATTGTTGTTGTTGTTGTTAAATCTCAGGGCAGACCTATGTAGCTTTGGTTCTAGCTCCATATTTATAAGCATCTAATCAGGAAACTGTCCACAATATGTGTCATGTACTCTGAGCAACAGCAGAATTCACTTCTGCTCCTTAAAATGGAAGGGAAGTCGTCCTGCGGCCTATCCCACAAAACTAAAAGTGACTTTTAGATGTCTTTAACCAAAATTTGTTGTTTCATTTTTAATTTTTAAACACAAGTTATAATTTGGGTATTAAAGGAAGAGTCTTAACACATATATATTGAGTTTTAAGTTAACCAGTAATATTTTGAACTTTCAATGAAAATGAATAGGGAAGATTGACAAATGAATACACATAGTCAAAGACTATGGAATATTTTGAATTACTAGAGTCCCAAGGTCTTCTAATGTTTTAAACTTAGAGTTAAATTCTGTTTGATGATTTAAACACCTTAAGAAATAAAAGCATGCACAATATAGTATCAGTAATAGTGTCGGGGATGGGCGCCCACCCATGGGATGGATCCCAAGTTGAGCTGGTCACTAGTTGACCTTTCCTTTACTCTCTGTTCCATTTTTGTCCCTGTATTTTGTTTAAACAGGAGCAATTTTGGGTCGAAAGTTTTGTAGGTGGGTTGCATGGCTGTTCTCTGAGAGACTTTACCAACAGCAGACTGAGATAGATACAGATGCTCACAGCCAAGCACTGGACTGAGGTCAGGGACCCCTATGGAAGAGGTAGAGGGGAAGGACTGAAGGAACTGAAGAGGATGGCAACTCCATAGGAAGACCCAAAGTATCAACTAACCTTGACCCTTTGTTGCTCTCAGAGACTGAGCCATCAACCAAAGATCATACATGGACTTGTCTGAGGTTCAACACATATGTAGCAGAGGGCTGCCTTGTCTGGCCTCAGTGGAAGAGGATATGCCTAATCTTGTAGAGACTTGATGCCCCAGGAGTGGCATTTTTATTTTTTAAATCTGGGATATCTGTTTGAGCCACACCTTCTCATACTGAACAATGAGGGAAAATGTCTCCTTTCTCGGAAGTTGCTTGGAGTTCTGTCCGAGCATCTATGGTACTCCTCGTTGCAACGATGTTTACTTGTTTCAGTAGCGCTTTTTACTGCACGCAATCACTTTTTAAGTTCACTGCGTTATAGTCCATTCAATACAGATACGCCCCAGGCCTTCTGGGTGTGCCTAAGAAAAGGAGAAATAGTTGCACAGGGGTCTTAACCTCAGGGAACTGACCGAGGGTTAGGCTCCATTAAAGACAGTAAAGTGCTATGCAGACTTCAGCCAGTGTCACTGCTTGCAAAGACACGTTGGACTGTTCTAATTTGTTGGCAGGAAAAGCACAGACAGGTATAAACCCAACATTTTTTCTTCCAGAAAGTTATTTTCAGTGATGTCATAGAAGAGAAATAATGAAATCAACTTGAGGTTGGCATAACTGTAAATGGGGAAAAGATGTGTGAAGCCGAGTTGAGGTGACAGAGAAATGCATTTGTGAGTTGCTTTCTTTTAGACACCAACCCAGGAAAGTCACAGGTTGAAAGTGGAGGGGTCTTAAAGGTGGTAGTATTTTTATTTCATATGAAATATATATGATTATACTTATATATTATATACAATATGCTTAAGATATGTATTGTATAATAAAATATATACTATATTATACATATTTATATATAACATATTATATATATTAATATATAACATATATATTTAAATATATATCATATTATACATGTTATACATAATTACGTATTCACATATTGTACATATATATTATACATATGAGGGCTACATTCTTTTGAGGACTACAAAGCATTTCAACAAAGTAGAATTCTGGTAATTTCAAAAACAGAAAAGTTAACAGAAAGTTGAGGAGGAGGAGGCCTTTTTCACTGAAGTATCCTCTATGTCTGTGTGGAACTGCCCAGTGCTTTGTTGTTGAATAAGGTAAGCACAGGAATGAACAGACATAAATTCCTAGCAAATCATTATTCAAACATGTTGAGGACTTATGAAAGATTAGAGATCTTTTTATGTGAGACCAAAAAAAATGAATATATTTGGGTATATTCTAAATAAAGACACCTCCAGAAAAGATGAAAGCGGTTTGCTCATACTACAATTGCCCAGTTAAATATCCATTATCCCATTTGAAACCATACTGGAATATAAAACGAAGCAGCTCCTGTGTCGGCTTACGGGATAAGCATTGCTGAGACTGAAAAATACTCAGGCCCAGAACTGAGTTTAATGCAGTGAAGGTGCTTCTGTAGATGTGGCAGAGGGTGTGTGAAAGGGAGATGAATGAGGGCTGCCTGCCTCCTCTCTTCCCACCTGATGTCAGTCATTGCACAAGTAATGGTCTAGACAGTTTTCTTGGAGGGAAGCTTTCTGAAGAAAAGGTATGTACATAATCCACATTATGCTGTCATAACAAAATCTGAGGGGCTGAAACACATACATTTAGTTTTTATAGCTCCAAAGGCTAGGAAATCCAAGATGGTCAATTCAACCCTTATTAAGACTTCTCATCTAAGCCAGATGGCTTTCTGTGGACCTCCATCTCCAAATACCACATCATACGGTTGAAAAGACTTCACATGTGAACTGTGGACGGAGTCCTGGACATTGGGTCATAACACAAGTAGAAAGACTGTAAGGTACATGTAAACTTTAATAGGAATTCAAATCTCTGCCTCGGTTTCTCAGTAGTAGTAACAAAGGTGTGCTTCATTTCATAGATAAATCTTTATTAGTAAATAAAAGATTCTTTAAAATTAAAGCCCATGTTAACAAAATATTCATACATGTAAGTGGGAAATTTAATTATTTTATACACCTCTTAGAGTCATCCCTACTGTAAACTTTCTCCTTAAATGAAATATCTGAAGTCTTTAGCTTGGTCCAGACTGTTGATTTTTATCTCAGATGGACCCAGACTCAAGGTTCTAAAGTGCAGGGTGAACCTGCCTTTCTTCCCTTCTCTCCTCCTGTAACAGTTTGCTCACTCCACATAAATCTGGGAAGCCCCAGGCTGGCTTGCATAGTTCCTGAATTTAATTGAAATGGAAAAACATGAAAGTGGAATGTTAAATATGTCAAATGAATGGAATGAGTTGAGAGTTAGTGTACATTAGATTTTTTTGGAGATATATGGGATAATTAAGAACTTTGTTATTTTAGAGATTAGCTTACATTATTAGCTAAGATAGATAACCGCCATTACTGTTTGTTGGAGTGGGTGCATAAGCTTAAATATTTCTGGAGAGCACAATACATCTATTAATTTGTGTGTGGGTGCATACACTGAGCACAGAAGTATATAACATATAATTATGGATAATAAATTCAAAATAAAATAAGGGCTAGGTCTGCCTAGCATGGCATATAGCAACTAAGCTCTTTCTTCCTTTGTGTCTACAGGCCTCTGCTTGCTAGTTCCTAAATTTAAATGGACAAATGCCTGTCCCCTGTTTGAGGCAGAGGGCAGGCATCTTGTCAGTAGCTTTTCCTCAAGCATGGTGACCCAATTTGGCAGAGGTACAGTGTCTGCAGTCTGAAATAACAGACATCTGTCTGGGTTATAAGCTCAAATCTCAGTTTCTACCATGAATATTATCTATGTTCTTCTTCAAAAGAGAAAGAAATGGGGAGCAGCCTTTTGATATGTTAGCAGTATTTTAATGAGAAAACAAACAGAAACTTCAGTATTAAGGAGGAAAGTAAAACTGTATTTGTAAATTAAATATAATTCTTTCTTTGAGGCTGTGGGGTCTCTTGCTTATAAGTATAATGGCTTATATTTAAATTGGTATTTTGCTGTAGACCCTGAATTACTTTCATGCTCCTAGATGCAAATTTTCTGTCTTGGTCTCTGGAAATCCCTTAACAAAACCACTGTCTTCCATCTTCCTCCATACTTCAGACCTATTGAATACTGGCTGTCATCTCTCTCCAGAAGGCCTAGATCATATTTTAGAACAGTGGTTCGCAAACTTCCTGATGCTGGGTCCTTTAATACAGTTGTCATGTTGTTGTAACCCCCTTCAAGCATGAAATATTTCCATTGCTTCTTCATAACTGTACATTTCCTACTGTTATTAATCATAATAAAAATATCTGACATGCAGGGTATCTGATATATGACCCCCTGTGGGAGTCATGAACTGGCCTAGATGAAGCATATTTGTCTAAAAGTCTCAAGATTCTACATAGAGCACCCACCCACAGCTTATTCACACTGAATTTAAAAGCCACAATGAATTTCCTTCAGTTTTCAGCAATTCTAAAATACATTAATTATTTGTACATTAAAATTATGGAAAGTATATTAGTAATAATGGCAAATTTTATAGATACTCTTTACCTAGGTTTTTTTTTTTTTACTTGAGACATTTTCCAGAAAGGAAAGATATTATTGACATACAAATTTGAGAACTTTACAAATAAGTAATCACAGAGATCTTTATTTCAGATTTGTAGGGTTTCATTTACCCTATAACATATCAGCTATCATAGAAAAGTTCTAAGGTATTTAAGAAAAAGATTCGCAATTCAGGTTGGAGTTTTAATAGGCCAAATGCCATCTGTCTCTTCAATTTGTAACATTTTATTATTAACAAGCCCAGAAGAAGGAGCCAGTCTATTTCTGTTGTGGGGACAGATTTGTGTCCATCTGTGCCCGCCCTGTCACATGTCATTTGTGCTTTGGATCTGCATAGCTGTGAGGCAGTGGAGATGCAGGCGAGGTCAGGAGGTGGAGAAGCCTGTCAGAGTGTCCCAGCCTGTGACAACTGCAGACAGCCGCTTCCAAAGCCTCCTGGAGGCCATCATTCTGGCGGGCCTTGGAGCTGGGCCTTCCCTGATGTAATTTCACAAGAAAATGTTAACTTTTTCCATTTAAAAATCTGAGACAAAGAGCTTAATCTAGGATATGACTCTGGTTAATGCCAGGGTCCTTATTAGAGAGGTGTAGTTTTCAACCTTTGAAAATGTGAACCACTTTACAGTGATTTTTCTTAGTTCCTTGATAAGCTCAGAGTTGAAGGCAGTAGACTTGTGAGAAACCATTTTATGCAAAAGGGGCTGAATGCTGGTTAAGTGCCTTGAGAAGCCGCCTACCCACTCTGAATCCCCTATTCCTTTCCCCAAACATATTAATACGTCAGATAATAAGTGCAAGCATTTCTTTCTCTTCCCCAAAGTGCTTATCAAATTGTTGTGGAGCAGCTGCACCCACATCGGACCAAGCGTGAAGCAGGCTCCATGGAATGCTACCAGGTACCAGTTACATATCAGAACGCCCTGAGTGGGGGCGCGCCCTATTACTTTGCTGCAGAACTCCCTCCTGGGAATCTTCCCGAGCCTGCTCCCTTCACCGTGGGCGACAACCGGACCTATAAGGGTTTTTGGAACCCTCCCCTGGCTCCCCGCAAAGGATACAACATCTATTTCCAAGCGATGAGCAGCGTGGAGAAGGTGAGATTCCTCTCAGATTTGATTTTTTTCCCCTTGATCTTAAGTAAAGCTGTGGCTATATTTTATAAACACTCAGTGGCGTTTGTCAAGGAAAATTGAAAAAGAAAACAAAGGGAAAGAAAATGGATATGTAGTGTCGCTTCTGTTGCCAGCTCTTGCAAGTTGACTGAAGGACCGAGGCTGCGAGCCAGCAGCATTTCACAGGATCCCTGTTTCCTAGTAACTAGTGCAACTGGCTCTTTCTTCAGGAATGCCCACAGTGCAACTGTGAGCAAAGTGATTTGCAAAGGTGGGTGTGCTGCAGCCGGGGACTCCACCCTCAGTAAATTCCCTGCATTGTTCTACCTCACTTGCTCAATAGTGGCCGCTTCAAAAGATTAAATTTACTTCAGGATAAACAGAATACACGTTCCACACTGGGCTAATAAAGACTTAGAAGCTTTTCAGGGGGTGCAAGCCAAATAATAAATAACAAGTAACAGTCCTCTGATTACAAAGTAATGGGATGCCTGTGGTCCAGCTGACAGAACCTAAACAGAAGGCTGCCTGTGAAGGCTGGGTGCTGAGCCATTACTGAAGTTGGCTGGCCCTGGCCCTGGCTGCCCCTCCCTTTCCCATTTTGGACACAGTTGTTTTTCAACACTGCCGCTGATCCCAAATGAATATTGAAGAGGAAAACTCAGCAGGGCACGTGTAGAGAAACAACCTAGCCTTTTCCTCTCATGCTGTTTTCCTTTGAAAGACTTTCTTTCCTAAGACTTATTTTGTTTTTATTTATTTCTATTTTAGATAAGGCAGTAGGGTAAAAAAAATAAACATGTTGAGAAGAGAAACTTGAACAGTTTTAAATCCAGCTGAACACTGGCATTTGATGGACTTGGAGCTATGTGGGAAATTGTTGCTTTTATATAACTGAGTCCCTAAGGTGACACCTGGGAGATGGTGTAAAGTATGTGGCAACCAATTGTTTGAGTCATATTAGCTCTTAGAATAGTTTAATTGGAAGACAACCAATGTGTATTTCTACAAGGGCCATGAGAATGTATTGCTTTTATTTGCAAGCTGTATTTTTCTGCCTACCATTGTGGCCAGTGTAGAGTATATGGCAAAGGAAAATGTCAGACGCCCTTTAAATACATAGTCTATATGCCGAGGCTGCCCATAGTTGAAGATGCTCCACTCTTCCCATTTTTCCTCTATAGAACTTAATTCTTTACCATCCACACCACTTGCTGTGACAAAATGCCTGGTGAGTAGCATTTTAAGAGATAAAGGGTTTGTTTGGTTACCAGTTGAGAATGACATCAGTGGAACAGGAGACCGCAGAAAGAGTAGTCTTCATTGAGAAAGTAGAGAGCAAAGAGTTCTGGTGTTGCTTCAATGAATTTATAAATAATACCTCACAGACATTCCCAGAGGTTTGTTACCATGGTAATTCCATCAAAATGACATTCAAGAATAACAACCCATCCTGTAAACACACACACACACACACACACACACATGTTTTAAAAGTAATTGTCTAATTAGGCTGTTCAAAACAGAGACATGGTAAAATTTAGTAACCCCACCTAAATACAAATAGCATACAGGTAGGAGGCAGATCTGGGTTTGAGTTTTTGTCTTTAAAGAGGTGGGAATTTCCAAATTAACTCTTGTTAACCTGTCTGTTGTGTGGTAAAAGTAAATGTATGTACTTACAGGGGATTTTCTCTGACACTCTTCACTCTGCCATTTGACCAAAGTTTAGCAGCCTATGGGTCATGACAGTTTGGGGATCAAAGGACTCTTTCACATAAGACCCTTTCACGTAAGACCAGTATAAAACACAGATGTTCACCTTAAGATTAATAACAGTAGCAAAATCACAGTTATGAAGTAGCAACAAAAATAATTTTATGGTTGGGGGTAGCCACGACATAAGGAACTGTAGAAAAAGGTGACAGCATCAAGAAGATTGAGAACCACTGGTTTTAGAGTTTCTGCAATGTATTTCATATGCTGATAAACAGTTGTAACATGGATGAGCCTCCCACCAGCAGAGGCTGGAAATGCCTACAGAGAGTCAACTGGGACTGCTTTCAAGAAATGAGAATCCCTGAGGATCTACACAGGAGCATAAAAATCTCTTGCGGCCTACTCTGTAGGTTGCCCCAGGAAAGAAGTAGAAGGACCTATTCTTCTCTCAGTTCTTTAGTTTACATCCTTTCAAAGTAAATGCTTGAGAAGGAATTGTATATGTTTTTCTTATTTATCAACATATAAAACCAGTGAAGACAGACTTATAAAGTGCTTCTTGAAGGAAGCCTCTGTTTTCAGAAAAAAATCATGCTCCTGATATGTGAAACTTGGCTAACAGGAGAAGGAGGACAGGACGGGGAGAACATGAGGCAGATCCAAGATTACAAAAAAAGCAATTTATTACAATCCTGTGGACAAAAGTCTGTCCATACCCCAAGGCAGAGTCGATGTGCTGATCTCTGTCTCGCTATGATATACCTGATCTTTTCATAAGCTATTATGTCCAATGTCACCAAAGCAACAGCCCAGGTGGTAGTGGCCACAGAAATGTATACTCCATTATAATCCTTTGTCCTGTAGGGTCTGGAACACATACCAAAAGTGTCTGTAGGGCACACGGGCAGCTTTGATTACAGTTGTATTAGCAAACTGGATACACTCACAGACTTTGTTTGATGTCTCTTCTTACCTATTAAATATTGAAAGATAAGCACAAAGTTGTCAGGGCTGGATACCTATAGTGCTATCTCAGTTCTACCTAGGGAGACCAAGAGAAAATTCATGGAGGAGGAATGTTTATTAAGATATTGTAGAAAGGAAGGAGGGAGGGAAGGAAGGAAGAAAGGAAGGAAGGAAGGAAGGAAGGAAGGAAGGAAGGAAGGAAGGAAGGAAGGGAAAAGAGAAGGCAAAGACAGCATATAGAAAATGGCTGAAGTATGTGTCTAAGAGGGAGACCAGAGCCCAAAACTAGCTTAAAGCCATGTATCTTTTGTACCACACAACAATAATATTTTTTTGCTGCTTCTGGTTTATGTTTCTATTTTTTTCTAGCTACCTTGGTAATGAAGGTAGGAGGAAAAAAAAAACGTGTGTTGAAAAGCGTCTTGTGGCTGACAGCTAAATTCAAAGGAAAGAAAGAACAGATAAATTACATTTAAACTGCCATGCAGTGTCTTGATGATCTTCCTGACAACGATCGTTTAGCTCGTCAGTCATGCCTAGATCCACGGGAAAGTATGTAATGTTCAGGATTGTTCAAAGTCTGTAGCTAGCAGGTGAAAATAAAATTAGTATTTGGTTCTGATTTACATTAGCTCTGCAGATACATAATTCTTTCTAATAGCTTAAGAGGCAACAAAAAAAAATGCAAATCGAAGGCCATGCAACTCTTCTCTGCCATACCTAAGCTTGCTTTATTACAAAGTGAAACAGATACAAAATTACTAGAAACGTTCTTAATGTTTTAATTTTCGTTTTCAAAATGCTATCTCAGACTATATATTGGGAAATTCCTTTATCTTTATAATTCTCCAGACATAGTTATTGTTTACACTTTTGTGTATCTTCATAATAGTTATAGTAATAGTTTATGAATAAATATTGTCTATTATATTGATCGCTGTCTTTTGATTTCACTCTGCCAGGAAACTAAAACCCAGTGTGTACGAATTGCTACAAAAGGTAAGAGACTTACCTTTTTGTTTCCATTTGTTTTAGGTTTGTTTGTTGCTTGCTTGCCTAGTTTTGTTTTGCATTGTTTTGTTTTGTTTAAACTCCATTCACTATTCCTTTCTGAAATCAGAGTTTTGTTCGTTTCAGGCCAATTACATGCAGTGCTTCTATTACAGGGTATTTGTACTGGGCCCAGATAAACCCCAGACACTTTTTCTGGCTCACTTGGGTGTCTTTAAAACAAAATGGAGTTCTACATCCACTAGTGCTTAACTACAGGAACCTTGTTATGGTAATAAGATGGATTTAGAAACCTTAGAAGGGCTTATCCCTGTACTTAGTGTCTGAGAAGCTGAATGCTACCCATCAGCCTATCAGGAAAAACTACTCCAGAGCAGCTCAAAATACAAGTCACTTACGTCAAAACCTCTGGTACTCTGTGTGATAGACAGATCAAACATGTTTAGCTAAGATGCGTCTCCACAGTCAGGCAAACACTTCATTAGTATTTGGTTTTGACTTAAAAGGAACAAAGCCAATTCTCCAAAACATCAGTGCTAGTATGAGAAAACAGTCCCACAACTTCATCACATTTTCATTTTTCATTTCGATTTAACTAATGCTGGGAAATTGTGTTTGGGAAGGCTAGCAACCGGAACACTGCCTGCTTACCCCGCCTGTCGTGACTTAGCTGGTTTGATTAGAAAATATATATGTTGTCAGCTTCGAATGAGCATTTGGCATTTAGCACGGAGAGAAGTCTCCTATACCTCTGTGTATTACCCTTCATTTAAAAATTGATTGGTCCAAGGGAGAGTCCACTGCTTTGTCTGTTCTAGCAGTGATGGAAGAGCCGTTTGCAGGCCTGCTTGCGCCTCCACAGAGGGATGTTCCTCTGGGATCTCTGTTGCCATAGTTAGCTTCTGATGCACATTTGTGAGTGAAGCTGATTCACTGGGGGTAACAATGAGTAGCCATATTCTGTTGATGTTGGCATCTTTCCTTTCATCACGTTCTCCATGTACCCATCAGTCTGTTCAATTAGCATTTGTTTTTCTCTTGATTTGTGCAGGCAATAAAGAGTTTCTCCTTGACTCATGGGGCTAATAAAGAAACTTCACAGATGGGGAAAAAAAACACTACTGATTTCATTCACATATGAAGATTCCTCATGATAATTAAAAAATAATTAAGCAACTCTAGTGAAAAGAAAAATATATGCAGAAGCATCTAATGTGCAAACAGTTCATTTATTTTAAGAGTTGGCTAGTAAATCAGCAGTTAAGGCCGAAGCTTCTGGAGGTTAGACATGGAAGGCATTAGGTTATACACCACCTCTCAGATTTAAAGATAACCCTAAGAATGTAAACGGTACTCAGATCAGACCATCAGTTCTTTAGATAGGAGAATTCTGTATTTCTCTAACAAGGAAAAAAGAAAAAAAGAACTGAAGTACTTGGAACATGTCAAATTTTCTTCTCCTTCTCTTGCTTTTGCATGAACTGTCTTGCAGTCACTCTGTCCTCTCTTGGATAACAATAAAAGCATAATGACAAATGTTATCTGGTATCTATGCTCCAGGCAGGTTTATAGATGGTGGGATTCGATCTTAGCATGTGACACAGAACATTAGCAAGAAGCCTGGAGGGTGGCTAGCCAGGCTTCTGTTTGTGGTCATTTCCCTTGTTCTCGTGAGCTCATCCTGGAGATGACAGACTAGCACACTCAGTGTGAAGACTATGGCCATAGACTATTTCAGTTAGATCTTGATCTTACTTCTCAGCCTTGGGCAAATAACCAAAGCTGCATTGACTAAATGCTAGTAAGTACTTATCTCTGTTTTGTTTTTGAAGATTTAGGGAACATGGAATACTCTGTCCTCGTTTGGGGTTTTCCTTTCCTTATTTTAAGTTATCTGTGATATATCTTGCTTCACCCTGCCCAGGACCTGAGTCATCCCTATGCCCACAACATTTAAGGCGAATATACTATGCACCTGTCAAATAACTGACAAACCACCTTGGTACCAGCTTACATGGTGCTGTGTTGCTATGCTTGTATTCATGAACTCCTAGTTTATTTAATAATGGCTGCAAAATGCAAGTGTATTTATGCTGGCAACTGTCATAGTATATTTCTATAGCTGTTGTTTTTTATTTATTATAATTCATAATACATTATACTAATTTATATTATACTTTGTCATAGGTATACACATGTAGAAGAAGTAGTATTTACAAACTCTAATATTATCTGTCATTTTAGTTATCTATTGGGGCTCTTGGAATATATCTGCTGCAGATAAAGAGTGTGTTATACACACAATGCTCTTTGAATGAGCCCTAGAATTTCATATCTCAGTTACAGATTACATTCTTATCCTATCTAACAGACTTCTTTAGAGGCTCATGCAAGAGACTCTGAGGTTTCCATTACTGTTTTAAATTTAGAATATCATAGTGTCAATCCAGGAGACTGCCCCAGATGCTCAGGGAAACAAAATCATTTCACTTCTCAAATAGTGGATGACTAGGCTGACCAGAAGTTAGAAAACACTCCATGGTAATCTATGTGGCATTCCTATGGGGACATCTTGTGTTCCACCTCTCCATTCCTCAGACAATCTCCCCCACCACGTCTTCACCTCTACATCCCCCGCTACAAGTACTAAGAAGGTAGGTTCCTGCTTCCCTAATGCCCTTCATATATAAGTCAACTGCTGAGAAGAGCAGGAGTCTCTGCAAGTCCACATGTATCTGCTTTAAGATATTCTAGTTTTCGGTGTCCTTTCATAGTTGAATACTGTTAGACAATATGTATTTGCTTGTGTTTTTTTAACTTAAATACTTAATCAAGTTTAATTCTGTGACTCAATAGTCTCATATATCACTATATTCCGAGAACAAGTACGAGATGAAAGTCTTATTATATACAACAAATATTTGTTGAATTGGTAATTGAATTTAAATCTGAGGTACATGTTTCTGCTTTAATATTTAATCAAACTGGTTATAGCACTGCCTGCAATTCTGAAAAGTGTCAGAGCATGTGTATGTGACAAGTTGCCTGTGTAGCTAGGGTTGTTTTTGTTTCTTGACATTTATATGTCACATTCTAGTTTAAAAAAAAAAAAAAAACTCAAAAGCTGGGAAGCTGGGATTCTGTGTGAGTCTATAGCTAACAAGAAATAGTTTCTAAACTAAGACATATTAAGTCTATTGAAAGTTTTCTTTAAATGAGTTTTGACTGGAATAAATGATATTATTTGATCTCTTCATTCAAATATCTACTTGTATACATAAGTAAGAAGACAGTTTAGCTAAAATGCTTCAACTTTGTCACCATGATTCCTGACTATGTTCTATAACTTCTATATCTTTGTTGGTTCCCAGGATGAAGGCAGTAGTCTAATGCTTTCACAAGAATTAAATGGTTTGATGTATTCAAGCAGAAACTCTAAAGGAAATATCTCATTACTTTGATATTCTATGTAGCCATTGTGGTAAAAGATTAAAATTCTATTAAACATTGTATAAATGATTGTTACTTAGCAGCATGAGAGTATGTTTTGCTGGTGTGAACCTCTCTGACTTCATTTGTATGTATTAAAATATTAGCTGCAGCTGAACATAATTAATTACATATTAATTACAAAACACAAGCTAAAAGATTTAACAAGGGGTATTGGTGATTTTTCTCTTCTTAGAGTCAGTTCCTCCAATATCCACTGTATCCCAGGAATATTCTTCATTTAATTAATTTTTTTGTTAAATCACATAAATATGATGTATATTGTTTCTTCATAAGCAGACTTTCCATGCCTTCCCTCCCAAAAAATATGTCGCTCATGGAAGAGGAAAGATCCTGAACTTGAAAGGGTCTTCTTTGCTCTCTTTCTTTCACTACACTAGTTGGAACTCAGATATACATTTGCATTACTCTTAGAGAGAGTGCTGTCTGCATGGTCTACTGCCTGATCAGACACAGGCAGGCAGAGTGTGACTAAGAGTTCTTGTTAATCAATGTTGAATTCTAGCTGCATATTCTTGCCATGAATGCTTAGAGGGAACACCAGCATCTTCACTTTGGTGTTACCTTGTTTCATGAGCTGACTTTGACTTGCCACCAGCACTTCCTTAAATGAGATAGTTCACATTCATGACAAAGTCTGCAGAGATAATGGAGGCATTAAAGCTGTCCAAGCCATTGCTAGTAACTATAGATCAGACACAAACTTACGTATACTCTTGCTGCCACTATTTTGTTTTTTATATAAATTAGTGGGGTTTGGAGAGGAGAAAGATCCTTTAGAGAGGTTCATTCTTGTGCCATAAATGAGAAAGGGCCTGTGACATAGACTAATTGGTTGAAACTTTTCAAATTGAACTTAAGTAATCAGAAGCCATTTTTTTCTCTTTTTTTTTTATTGGATGTTTTGTTTACATTTCCTATGTTGTCCCCTTACCCCATCCCCCACCCACACATGAACCCCCAATCCCCTCACCCCTCCTCCTTCTTCTCTGTGGATGTAACCTCTATCTACCCCCCCACTCCCACCACCCCACCCTCAAAATTCCCACCCCCTGGGGCATCCAGCCTTCATGCAGTCAAGGTTCTCTTCTTCCACCTATGCCCAGCAGGGCCCTCCACTCTTACATATTCAACTGAAGCACTGGATCCCTCCCTAAGTGCTCCCAGGCTGGTGGTTTAGACCCTGGGAGCTGTGGTTGGTTGGTATTGTTGCTCTCCTCATGGTGCCACAAATCCTTTCAGCTCTCCTTCAGTCTTCACTCTAACTCCTCTATTGAGAACCCCATGATCAGTTCAATGGCTAGTTGTGAGCATCTGCCTCTGAATATGTCAGACTCTTGAAGACCTCTGAGGAGATATCCGTATCAGGCTCTTATCAGCATTCAGCATGCACTTCCTGACTTCCACATCAGCCTCTACCTTTGGTGATTGCACTTGGGATAGATACCCAGGTGGAGTGGTCTTGAAACGGCCCCTCC